ACACCTAAAAGTTTAAGTGGCCGGGGGAATTAACGCTGAGGCGAATTTCGTGTTTTTGCCGATATTTTGCACGCTAGTGATCCAGAAAATATTTGCGCTCGCAACTAGGCTCAATAATAATTGAGATAAAATGGCTCCTCAAAATTTCGGAAGGAAATACGCCAGTAGCAGGGCAGTATTAAAAAACTGCATAGTCACCAAATACACCCCGCTAATAATAATAATAATAATAATAATAAGGTTTATTGGTAAGGCACCTCTTGGACACCGTCAAAACAACCGGATACCACAAATGTGGACTCGTAATTCTGAACAGTTAAGCTTTTCTCCTCCAATTGGACTCGTGTCTGCCTTACCAATTAGAATTGGTTATCTTGGTATAAACATATTCTTCCAAACTAGCTTTTGCTGAAACTTGCAGCTTTGACTAGAAGTCGACACATCAACGTTACTACAACGGCTTTCTCGTTCATTACTTTCATCACGTTTTGCACCATTTCCATGATTTACCTGTTTTGTCTCTTACTCTTTTGTGTCCCTATTAGCTGTCACTTCAGTGTGGACATCGGGGGCCTGAAAAGACCACATAAAGGGCTTGGCAGTTTAGTACTTCCAAAAAGAGCCCGTATCGCCCATCCGTCTCCCACAGCTCTTCAGACCTCCTTTGCAAATTCGTCTTTCGATCAGTCACTTTTGAACATCTCGAGCAGCAGTTTTTCTGCTCTCTCTACCCAATCTGATGCAGACAACCAGCCCGTCTCCCATGTCCGTTACACCTATAAACTCAAGAAGGGAGTTGGACCACGAAGCGCCTGTAGTAAGTCTTGTGAGGAGTCGTATGTATTTAAATCTAAAAGGCTGCATATTGTGCAGTTCAACCAGATATTTTACGAGCTTGGGCAATAGGACACAAGTCAAGGATACGTAGCACATCATACATGTAGGCTGGCTTCCTCAGTGACACTGAAATTTTTTAAATAAAATCCTGTGTCGATGCACATTTAGTT